CCCCCCCCTCGCTATGGGTCATGCCTACGCAAAACCTTGCGCCTGGTCGTATCAGCGGTTCAGGTGGTGCAGTTTTTTTCAACCTTCTGTGAAGCTTCGATTATGAGGTCGAACCTTTGCGCAGTCACACGAACCGAAGAGCATGTTCTTCTCATGAAAAAACAGCGACCGATGAGGTTGTGTGTGCACAATAGTGTTACTTGACGGTGGAGAAGAGAAAAACGATGGGTGTATCCTTGCGAGGAGATGAGAAATCATCCACGCACCGCAGAAAGAAGGGTCAAACAAAAGTTCGTGTGGGGCTCTCTGTCCGTGCTACTTCCGCTGGGGCGTTAGAAAACTTATCTACAGGTAAAGAGGTACAACTCACGTCCAACATGAAGCCACAAAATACACTGCTGTTCCCGAAAAAACATTGTTGACTATTCCAAGCCCATGCGGTAGGTCGTTGTCGATACGGCCTACATCAACCTACTCCACTTGCATCACCGATACCCTTGAAAACAATGCGCCTGAAAGGCACCTTATCATGTATCACGGCGTTCTTATTTTGCATCTTATACCTGTGGTCCCCGTCATAAACGTCGTCGCTCCTTGATCAGCTTGCCTTAGCGCCTGCAACCAGCATGTTCAAGGGCAAACACATCAAACATCGAACGTTCGAATGAACAGCACTTTATAAAGTCTCACGATAACGCAAATGTAGCAGGTAGAAATGCCCATGACACCAAAGCCAGGCAACCAATAAGATCAACCGAATCCGTGCCGATTCAACACAAAAGCAGAAACGAGAGCAAACAGCGCAACCACTAATGAAACTCCAAACATCCCCAACAGCGTCCGAAACGTCAAACCCCGCTCACAACGCCCCAACACGCCCACGCCACCAGACCACAGCCACGAACCAGCACAACCGAAACATGCACACACAACTTTTGTAGCAATAGCACCGACATCAGCGACGACTAACGACAACACCAACACCAACCAAACGAGAACACGGCATCATCAACAAATAGCAATGCGGCGACTAGCACAACTTCTGCAACCACGGCAACGAAGACAATCGGAACAACAACAACAACAACAACGACAACGACAACGACAAGAGAAAAAAGCACACCGCACCTGGTGCAGCTTCTTGAGCAGGAAGCTCTTGCCTGTCCCCGCCGCCCCCGTGAAGAACACCGACTTCCCCTTAAGCACGAGGTCGATCACGTGCCTTTGCTCCTCGCAGAGACCCTCTGGTTGGTTCCAGGCACACACACGACATGACAAACCAATAGCGCATCAGAACACCCGCGAACAATATTGATCCGCGGGCACAGACTTGGGGCGGCAAGTGATACATGGCGGAGGAGCAGGAGGAACGGTGGCGGTACGAACGACTGTTATCACGGGCCATTGCCCCTAACACAGTCCCTCAAGGGAGGGGAAGGGGGGCGTCGCCAACTGCACCAGGAGCACCCACACAGCAGGCGAGGCGGAAGGTCTGCGAAGCTACACAGCACGTTGGATCGCCTCCGTAAGAACTTGCTTCGTGGCAATTGTGCGACAAAATCTTGCAACAACAAAAATAAAATTTCAGTGTATTGCTTCATGATGCCTGGCAGCCCCCCGACGAGCCACAACGCAAACCTCAAAGCGGCACTGATCGCCGAACAATTACTGTATGTCCTGAGTCTGCGGAATGCGGATGCGGAAACAAGAAAATTCTACTGGCATTGCACACGCTTCCATACTACACCACACAAGGAGCGCCTTCAGGTGCGTTACCAGCAACACGAGTGTCCACAAAGTAAGCAGATCTCGCGCTCGCGGACAAACGCCACAGGCACAGGATAGGGTCTCTCGCACCAAGCATAACAAGCGATGCATGCACTCACCGCCATCAGGATGAAAAAAGCACGGGCAGGCACCACCAGCAGAGCAAAACGACACCCAAAGGATAGCCACCACAGTCGGTACTCACCCAGTATGTCCCCCAGCCCGGCCGGGTAGGGTATCGCCTCCGCTTCCCCTCCTGCCGTTCCCGCCTCTATACCCTTCCCAACGTCGCCATTGTCGTCGGCGGAAAGGTCAATGGCGGATCCCCCCCCGCCGGCGTCAAAAGTCTGCCCGCCTCTTGCCGAGGAATGGCTATGTTTGGCTGCTGCACGTTCGACGCCTTTGCTGTAGGACGAGCCGATGGTGATGCTGCTGTTGCTGTGTACTGACCTCTGGTCCTGTGCGGAGGAACTGCGGTTTCCAGAGAGGGAGAGAGAGAGGGAGGGAGGGGGGGAGGGAGGGAGAAAGACAGGGCAGAGAGAGAGAGTAAGATTGACGGAGAGACGAAGCAAGTGAGGCTGCTACGTGACCGTACCGTGTTCACGACAGCGCTTCGGAAAATGGAAAAACAACGCGGGTTGCTGGGCTCTTGTTGCGGCTTTGGTACTGTGTCTCTGCGCTTGACCACGGACGTGTGGCGCTAATGATTCCGAACACAACAAGAGGGCCGGGTACGCCCAAGGGGGTGTCGCCACTCCAGCACCTACTCGTGTTGCGCACGCGCAGTCCTCACGCTCCGCGTGCCCATCTGACCACTCAAACAAAACTCGACCCTTTGAAGTCTCTCTGTCGCGCATCCTCGAGTTTTCAAGCCACACTCCGTCTTCACAAAAAACCGCACATACGGGCTTACCAGATGCCAAAAGTCGGTGGTCAGAGCGAAATCGCGAACACACAGCAGCGGAAACACCTCAAGAAACCTGTCTGAATCGCAAGCCCTTACCCCGAGCGGTGCCCCCCACGAGGAGCCTGGTACTTGGTCCACGCATCCCCGCCGCCGCCGCCGCCGCCGCCGCTGCTGCCGCCTCCGCCGCCTCCGCTCCCGTAGCCTCCGCTCCCATACGGACTCCTGGCCGGCGAGGGAGCCGCGCTGTCGTTGACGGCCGCCGGTTTCGACCCATCTGTTTCCAGGAACGAAAAGGTCTTGTTCAGCCCGGCATAGAGCCGTTTCGGAGACCGACAACGAAGGCATATCTTGGATGATGACGCAGCGCCGCGGTGGTGTAGAACAGTCAAGCGTGAGCGATACTCTCAAGATACGGGGAAGGGGTGGAGAGACCTCACGCCCACACAGCAGTGGGACGCTTCAAGCGACTGTAGGCAAACGGTTTGCATCGTGAGCACCTCGGGTTAGTTGTTCCAGAAGCGGGCGGCGGAAAGCAATCTCGGAATAGCGGTCTCTTCGGCTGTGTGCTCTTCTTTGCCCGATTCATAGCCCGGGGTAAAATTATAGCGAAATTTTGCCATCGACAAGAACGATTGCCGCGAACGAGCGCCTTTCGGCCCTCACGGGCGGTTGTGCGACGGGGCAATCTCTCTCGTAGCCGGTGGCCGGGTGTACTGAACACGATGAGTCACGGCCATCGCAATGCAGCACCGCTTTTTTTACCGCACAAGCCGCGAAGCACAAACACCAGCGGTGTGTACTTGCTACCCGAGGTAGACAATTTGGTGGTGATGTAGGATGTCGCACGTCGCACACCCTGGAACGGTTTTCAAAGCTCGATTGGTCCATCGCAGAAAGAGCGGCGGTGCCGAACATTGGCGGCATTGGAACCGGTTCATTGAGAGTTTTCCGAAAACGTGCCGTTGTATCCATACATCCTCTCCGTCGTGCAGTAATCGAGCTTATATTTTTCGGTCGGAACCTCGGCTTGATAAGCGCGTACAGCAAAACATTTCTTAACAAGCCGGTCGTGCGTCGGTCTGCACCAAGAGAATAGCTGAGGCAGGCACAACGTGGAGGTGGCCGTGATCCCGAAGCCGGCATCCTAGAGAACAAACCCCCGCAATTTGTCGTCTCCCCGCTATATTCAGCCCAGGGTGGCAACAATCCTCGCTTCAGAAGCCAAGCAAGACAAAGCAGCAACACTGCCCGTGGGCGTCATCAAATGACCTTCCCGAGCGAGGACTCAAGTCACGTCGACCTCCAAAAGAACGTGCCGTAAAAGGTGTGTCGGCGTGCTCTGATTGGAGGCTGGCGGCGCATGACCCAACCGAGCGTGTCAGCCAACGAAAATAATCACCGTGCTAATTGCAGTCTGCGGTGGTTATGATGCTGCCGATCAGGAGACCAGTAGCACAGGAAAGTCGTGCTGTGGAAGCGCGGGCTACCACCGTGACCTGATGCACATTGCTTGTGAGTAGACTACGCGCATCAAAATTACACGTGGAACTGTGCCCACAGTATTCAACTAACAAATCGAATGTACGCCCCTTGGGATTCCAAGCATTTGGTCATCGAAGCCAGGGACAAACACACAGACACACCCCGACTTGAGCAGTTGTTCAAGGGTTCGACGGCTCACCGGACTGCTGCAGCCATTGGCCCAGAAGAACTTGCTTCATCTTCTTCGGTGCCGGCCCGCCGGCATGACCAGACATGGCAATCACCAAACCGCTGTCTTTCCCGGGAAACCTCGGTGGGCCAGGTGTGACGTCACGCCTTCCTTCCTTCCTGCCTGCCGACGTCGCGAGTCCCTAGTATCGATGGCCGTCGGCTTTGCACTCCTACGTTCGAGCTGCTATCTCACGGTGAGGATAGAAACAGAACCGTCACACAAACAGGACTTGGTGGGAAAAGCGCCTTGTACAGTGGTGCTGACATCCTCTTCAGCGAGCCAGAAAACGCCTTGCTTGTTGTCGTTGTGCAATAAATCAACACTAGTCAAAGCAAGAGGACGCTTGGGGTCATCATAAGAAGCACGGAATGGTATCTTCTCTCAGTTCCTTCTGATATCCGTACCGGTCCAACTGACGGGGAGTGTGGCATGAAGGAATTGACTTGAGTTCGTTTGGTTCAGTGAGCAGGGCTGGGGTTATCTCTGGTGTGTCCATAGTCAAGTAAGAGGTTGAGAGTAGGGTCTGGGGGTCTTAAAGAGGTCGGGGTTCATGGTTGGAAATTTGGGGTATTTTGGGGAAGCGTTGATTAGTTGAGAGCGAGAGCGGTAAAGTGTTCGATTTTCCCTCCCCAAGGCCTGTGCAATTAATTAAGTCATAAGCAGCTGTAATCCGTACGCAAGGAAGTAAGCACAAGATGCCGAACACCCTTAGCAGGATGCAGCGCACCCTTCATGCGACTCGCCGAACATCTCACGGCGCTTCGCGCTTGGTGATGTGAGAGCCTGGTCCGATGAGAACCCGGCGTACTCCGTCCCGGCTTTGAAGGGATTCGAGGTCAATGGTCTAACGACTACGGCATGCACGACTATGAGTACACCCCCAAGGCCTGTGTGCACACACATTGATCGCGGACGTCTTTGAGACTCTCACATACACGATCCCACCGGCACATCATCTGCGCAAGAGAGGCCACCGCCGGCCCATTTCTCNGCGCTTCGCGCTTGGTGATGTGAGAGCCTGGTCCGATGAGAACCCGGCGTACTCCGTCCCGGCTTTGAAG